TTCTTCTTCTTCTTCTTCTTCTTCTTCTTCTTCTTCTTCTTCTTCTTCTTCTTCTTCTTCTGACCTATGAACCTGGAGGTCATGGTTCGATTCCTGGTCAGGGCACAGACAAGAATGAACCAATGATCCCTCGCTTGTTTGGGTCAGTGGATAGAGGGTTGGACTGTGGACTCTGGAAGGTACCAGTTGGGGGTGTGCAGGAGGCACCCGATGTTTGATTCTCTCTCATCATTGATGTTTCTTGCTCCCTTCATATATGAAATCAATCCTATGTAATAGAAGCCTAAAATGCTAAGTGTAAAGTGGAGCGGTCATCTGTTCAACCAATCCAAACAAAGTATGCAAATGATATACTAAGTTTGCTCAACTGCTCACTATGACATGCATTGACCACCAGGGGCAAGACAATCACACTGGTAGGTCAGCTTGCTGTTGGGTTCTGACTGATCGGGACTGAGGGAGACAGCTGGACAAACCCTGGAGCCCTCCCATGGTCCCGCCCCAGCTGGCCAACCTCCCGTGTCCCTCCCCAGACTTAATGGTAGACTGGTGGGGTCCCTTGGCCTGGCCTGTTCCTCTCGTTATCCGGGACCCCTCAGGAGATGTCGGAGAGCCGGTTTCCGCCCCATCCCGCAGGCCAGGCAGAGGGACCACACTGGTGCATGAATTCGTGCACCAGGCCTCTAGGAAAAATATATTAAACAGAGAAACACAAAGAAAAAGACCTTAAGCTTGAAAATATTAGCCCAGCCCCGGGAGACAAGGCTCAAAGACATCACTGGAAATAGTTTTCATTTCAATGACCAGCGTTCTCATTGTTTGATCTCATGAGGTTCCTCAACCAATACTACCCTCTCCAAAAAAAAGAACGAATGTTTGGCGGATTACGGGTGTTTTATGCTCATCATCTCTTTCCTTTGAGGAATTACGAGGGATGACAGGGCTTGTCTCCTGAAGACTCGAGCCGGCTCTGTGTGTGGCTCTAGCATCTAGCTCAGGATGCATTTGGGTTTTTAAATGTGTTTAGCACTAAACAGCCCCAAACAAAGCCCAGCGATTATAAAATTCATCTAGAATTGCACCAGAGAGAGCCAGCTGGAGAGGGAGCAGGAGGAAGCCCCAGAAGTAAATTTCAGGACATCCATGGTTACATGAAAGAGATCACTGACTGCTGATTAAATTCTCCTATTGCAGGCCCTCACCAGTTTGGCTCAGTGGATAGAGCGTTGGCCTGCAGACTGAATGGTCCCAGGTTCGATTCCAGTCAAGGGCATGTACCTTGGCTATGGGCTCATCCTCAGTAGGGAGTGTGCAGGAGACAGCTGATCGATGTTTCTCTCGATCCTTGATTCTCTCTCATCATCACTGATGTTTCTATCTCTCTCTCCCTTCCTCTCTAAAATCAATAAAAAAATATATAAATTTTTTTTATAAGAGACCACGCCTTGAAATCTGTCATGTGTCACACTGCGGACACTTGCCGGGAGCCGGTCCATCCTTGCTGTTTCAAGGGACCTGGCATGTATGGCATACTGTTCTTACTATGTTTGCTCCCCTTCTTGGCGCTATGTGTTTTAACCAAGGTCACCTCTCCGAGAAAGGTTGTTTCCCCAGGTAGGGATATTTCCCTGAAGTTAGGGAGGGCATAAAACCCCTTAACTAAGTGCCAGGCGGGTAGTTAATCACTTTAACTACAAACAATCACACTTAAGCTACATAATCTTTACTCCCTGGAATGGAGATAAGAAACGCCCTAACCTTTGGAATAGAGATTGATAGGATTGGAATCAACTGGTATAAATACAGATGTAACAAGACAACAGGACACAGAACCTAGA